GCCTGGGCTTTATCCTCATGGTCCACATGTTGCCCCCTGGCAACTCCACCCTTGCACCTCATGAAACAAAATGGAGCATCACTTCCTGACAAAATCTGTACACCATACCTTCCTGGGGAAGCCTATCTTTTCTGGTAGCTCCTGCTTAAGCCCTGGCTCTGAGACTCATTTGCTCATGTGGGCTTAATTCGAGCCATGTGCCCATTCCTCAGTGAGGGTGATGAGTTACTCTAATTGCCTTAGCCTGCTTTGGTCCACCATGGGTCTGGAAGTAGGATTAATCCCACCCAAATGCACAGTGGAGATGGGGGAAGGGTGAGTTCACCAAATTAAAATCCATGTACAACGGGCTGGAAAACTGGGGGAACAGATGTCACAGAGGTAATGAATAACGTCCTCTGTAGCCTTCTGTCACCACGTTCTCCATGAGAACTGAGGATGTCAGCTCCTCTTGTTGACCTTCAGACAATAATAGATGATTATTTTCTCATTTGAACCGAAGCCAAACAGGATCCAAGGTTCCTAATTTCTGAGTCAAGTAAACACTGCATTGTCATCCTTACAGAAAATTCTCTAGGAAATCTGAAGTATAAATCTGTTAGGATTCCTAAATTTTGATTTTTCAGGCAGAGCTATGTTTCTACCTTCTCATTCCAAGAGGTGGGAGGTGAGGAGGGTGTTCGAAGAAAGGGCAATTGAATCACCGTGTATAGGAGCTTACAGAAGACCTGACATTTCCCTTGATGAGTGACTGGGGTGTGGGTGCCCCACTGCTCTATGTATTCTTTCTTGAGAAATACTTGATGGCTTTTAAGCGATACTCCAGTGTTGGAAAGTAGGAGGTAGAACAGATTTGGAAGAAAACTTTACCTAAGTAAAGAGGAGATCACCTGTAGGGAACGGTAACATATTGCATTTGTGTTTTCCACCTTTGCTTTTCTAGGGGACAAAATTGCATTTTAAGAGATGCTATTTTTTTTAAATTTTTTTTTTTATTGATTGTACTTCTCTGCTTCAGAATTTATTCTTGGTTTCTGTCTATTTTATTTTATTTGGGGGGGACAGTGGGAGGTACTTAGGTTTATTCATTTATTTATTTTTAAAGGAGGGGCTGGGGATTGAACCCAGGACCTCGTGCACGCTAAGCATGCAGCTCTACCACTTGAGCTAAACCCTCCCCCAAGAGATGCTATTAAGTGTGACTTGTCCTTGGGAAAAAATGAAGTGTAAATTTCAAATTCACGCTACAGAAAAAAAAAAAGATTAAGCTAATTTTGGCTAGTGTTCATGTACTATTTGCAGTAGTGACTGAAATAAATATTAATAACCTTGACCACCACTAGCATAATCCACTGTAATGCTGGATATAAAAATTGCATCATTTAAATAATCTAATTTAATGTTTCCTAACCAGTGGGGGTTCTTGTAGATTTGTAAGTATTAGCTCTAAATTCTTTAAACTAAAAGCAGATAACATTGAAAATGATCAATGCTGCTGGAATATAAAGTACATGATGAATTCATTTAGCCAGTGACAATATGCATATCTTTGTTTTCAGTGAGAGATTGATGATGTGGGGTGTGTATGTGTGTGTGTGAACATGTGTGGGGGGAAGCAGGGCCTTTTATTTTTATCTAATGTTGGCAAAATTGATAACTGACTATGAGGATGAATCTAGGAAGAACATGGCGAGGCTCTGGGCAGGCCTCAGCTTTCCACACCCGCACAGAAGGCATTCTCAACATGCGGTGGCAATGTTCCAGTCCAGTTTCTGCCCAATTAGGCAGAAACTCTCTGATTTTGGGCCAATCACTTCTCTTGTCCCTCCATTTCCTCTGTGTAGATTAAGGGACGTGACAGACAAATGAGTTTCCAGGATGCCCAAGGAGTTTCCTATTTCCTCACGTTGCTGTAGCTCCATCTGACCTGCAGGGGGCAGTCTTATTCAGAGGGCCCTGAATTTAGCAGCATGTCCACTTCTGAGAAGCGGGTCCACCTGTGGGTTCTAATGTCCCTTTCCCCCCACTTTCACAGCTATGTATAATGTAATAATGGGTCAAGTTTCCTTTTAGATAGAAGACAACACCTTATTTAACAGTGAAATAAAGTTAGGACAAAAAAATCCATGGGTGTCACATGGCAGGTTACCCTGTTTTTGTGTTAGGTTTAATGAGACACCTGCTAGCAAGGACAACATGTTATTTTTAACCTTAACCTTTTCGCCTAATGAAAATTGTTGAGATGGCCCTCCCCGAATCTTCACCCAGAGCTGAGGCCAAAGAAAGACATTAAGCCCCAGACAGACTGGGTGCCAGGAGAAACAGAAGGCTGCAGCTGCAAGGCAGACAAATACCGAGTGAATAATAACCTGCCCGCATTGTTGGCCAATACGTGTAGAGCCAAATGCAAATGAGCACACGTTCATGGGGCCAGAACTAAAAAGAAACGAGGGCAGATGAAAGGAGTGGAGCTTCAAGCAAATCCCTGTCTTAACACAAATCTATCCTCCCTTCCTATCCTCCCTTCCCCTCCTCCCCAGCATCTCCTTGCCAACTCAGGGGAGGGTAGAGATCCCCTGGGGGGCACCGGCCAGGCTGGGCACTGGGGGGGATCTCACTTCAGAAAGCTCTGGATCAGCCCTCAACTCTGAGTGCCCCCAGGAACCCCTTGAGGGGCTTCAGGGAAATGCCCGGGCATCACCCCAGATGCTGCCATCGGAATCTCCGGGGCTTATCCACTGGCTTGGATGTTTTCAAAAGCTTCTGAGATGATTCTAGTGTGAAGCCAAGATTGCAAACCTCTGCTCAGATAAATGGAGTGACCACCATGCTCAACGGCCTAAGCCTTTATTTGAACACAGCGGCAAGCAGGCTTTATCACACATCAGTGTGTCTATACTTTCTCACTGGTGAACAGCTGCTCACCTTGGGCATGGGTCTCACTTTCTTTCTAGGTTGTTAAAACCGGGTTAGGCACTAAACCTGTTTATGTGCCTGCAGGTTGGCAGGGCCATCTCCTGAGTCAGGCACTGACATCAATACCATCTTGGCCTTGCTTCAAGAGGCAACTTTTTCCAGGGGGTTCTGTTTCCAATCTAAATTAAGATTTCCTCCTGAAAAAAAATTCCTATTTTCACAACTGTAGACTAGGGAAGGAAGAAGACAAAATTAAAGGAAATCAGCCACTTGCATTTTTGGTTTTTGTTTGAGTCAGTTCCCTTCTTGTTTTCATTTAATGCCATCATATTTGTATCAACATTTGCCAGACCATCTTTAGAATGCCCTTTCTCTCTCCAGAGTCAGTGCAAGAGGAAGTACGAAGGCCAAAGACTCAGCTCAACCTCGGTGGCACAGCTCCTACACTTTGCACAAGGAAAGAGACACAGCCTTCCACCCAGACCTCCAAACCCGCAGTCCACTCCACCACTCACATTCCACGCCTGGGACTCAGCATGTGGACTCAACACCCGCTCTTGGTCTTGCTCATCCAGAGATGGCTGGCCGTGGAATCTGAGCCCCCAGTGTGTGTTCCCTCCCAAAAGGTGCTGAAAAGTCCTAGATTGTATTTTCAGTTTTAAGTCGTGCTTAGGTAAGTCATTTACTGCTTGGTTTTCTTTAGCTTCATTTTCCTACTTGAATAGTGGGCATAATATTTGTCATCCAGCTCATAGGGCGACAACTAACTTATTGACATTTGAGGTCCTTAGATGAAAGGCATTATTGTTTATAAGTAAAAAGTATTATTATTTAGTAACCACTGAGTTGGCAAATGTAGTCCTTCAAAAGGAATTTTTGGAAGAGAGCTTTAAGGAATGAACAGCAGCAGAAATATAGCTAGATATATTTTAGAAAATATTTTTTAACTTAGAAAAAGTCCCAAATAGTAGATACCAGTTTTGAAAGCACCTAAAATGCATTTTTCTTTTTCTTCTTCTTCTTCTTCTTCTTTTTTTTTTTTTTTTTTGTCTAGAGCTACAGAAAAATTCAGAAGGAGGAAAGTAAGGGTATGGGGGTTTCCATTTGGGGACCTTGATTTCCCATCCCCTGGCTGCCAAGCCTTCTTAGTGATGGCTCCACACATGTGGCTGCAGCTGTGGGGACAGCTGGAGAGACCTGTTGTCTTTCTGGTCCCCTCTGACATTTTGCAATGTCCCTTCTGATTGACCCCGTGAAGGGCATGACCTCTCTGGCCTGGCTCTGGCTGTCATGAGGGTGTTGCCACTTGGACAGGGAGCAGGAGAGAAGATGTAGTTGATTTGAAAAAGTAAAATGCTCCTTGCAGCTCATGAGCAGAGCCATGGAAACCTGGCGACTCCCCCTGGCAGCTCTGGGGGCTTCTAACCAGAAAGGCTGGTGCTTCACAAGCTATCACACGGTAGAAAGAGAAGAGCTTAGGCTAAGGTAGCGAGACTGATTGGTACAGGCCATTGTGTTACTGTAGAAAGGCAGGGCGCAGGGGCTCTAGAAAGTTCACTGGGGCCCCTCAGCTAGCCTTCTAAGACAGGTTCCCACCTGGCCCAGGGAGAGAATTTCTCACTTGTCTTTCTGTGTGTGTTACTGAAAGGAAGCAATATTTCAACCAATCTAAGCCCTGTCCCCTGCAAGTTAGTCGGCCTGATGCCAACAAAACCCTGCATAGGACATGAGGACCAGGCCCTTCTGAGGCTGCTGTGTGATGAGCACTGGGCACTAGGCCGAACAAAATGTTTGCTATTAAAATGGATTACAAGGAAATTACAAAATCACTTTAACCACTCTTCTGCACTCCTGCAGAGGGAAAACAAAGTGGCTGAAACAGAAAAATGTTTCCCAAAGGAAAATTTAATTTCCTCTTTGGTAACCTGAGAAAGTTTACCACAATTTCATTCAAAACCTTCAGGTACTGGGGGGGAGGGTATAGGTCAGTGGCAGAGCACATGCTTAGCATGCACAAGGTCCTGGGTTCAATCCCCAGTACCTCCATTAAAAAAGAAAAACAAAAAAACCTTTAGGCACTTGAGTTTTTTTTTTAATATCCTTTACCTTTTTAATAAAAAGTAAAAAACAAACAAAAAAATACATCGATGTCCTGAATAGAACCTCTCTATGTAAAGTTCTCACTAGACAAATAAACATAGGACCAGACAAAAGAAATGGGGCTGCGAATAGCAATATGATATATTATGAAGCATTTATATATATGTATATATTATATATGAATGTGCAGGTATATGTGTGTGCACCTATGTACGTATAAATATGCCTACGTATGTCACACACACACACACACACACACACATATATATTTATACTGACCTCTTTAGATTGAAGTCCAAGGCACTTTTTACAATGAACAGGTTAAAGCCATTAATTCAGAACATAACTGTTTCTGGGTACATATCGATTTATGGCGCCAACATCACAATTCCCATCTTTCCTTGTTTACATTGGAGGGTCTGGTTGGTGTAATGAACAAGAAACTTGGTTTAAAAAGAGATTAGGAATGTTGCTAGATGGTTAAACTAACTTCTTTTGCTAGTTTCCTCTGGGGAGGAGAATTCCCACTGCTGGGCTGCTGAGTTTCTCAAGGAAGGAACAGAGATGCAGCCATTTCTGCACTACCCTGGGCTGTGACCTGGGTGGCCTTCCGGGGGACCTGCCCTGAGAAGCCACCTGCTATTCTGATGGCCCTGCCAGCATACACTAAAATGAAAAACTTAAAAAGGTGCTCTGAGGTGGCTTGAGGCTATGAAGTGAGTGCTTTTAAAAATGAGACTAGAAAAAGACTGCTTCTTTTGTACACCACCCAAGCTCTATGACCTCAAGGGGAATTTGAAGATGCATTTGTTTTTAATTCTTATGATTGCACGGGATCTTTACTTCATCAAAGACTTCTGTAAGTGAGGGTCAGGGAAGAAATAGTTTAATTTTTGATCATTAATGATGTTGGTTACCATTGGCATGTGGTGACGCCAGCACTTCTCAGCATTTGTATATATATATATATGCAGATCACTTGGGGATCTTGTTAAGACGCCCAATTTGATTAAGCAGGGCTGGCATGGGGCCTGAGTTCTAACAAGTTCCCAGGTGATGCTTATGTCGCCGGTCCATGTACCACACTTTGACCGGCAAGGGTTAGCGTATAGCTTACACCTGAATTACTGTCAAGAGATCTGCTTTCTCCAAGTCAGGAATTTGTATTGAGTTCCTTGATTCTAGATTGAAGAATAACTTTGAGTAGAAAAATCAGAACACTCTCTACAAGTGTAAAAGCCTTGGCCTGGGAAAGGCTAGAAGGAAAAGACAAAAGACACAGTTCTATTTAGTAGTGGAAAAGTATTGAGAGACAAATCAATTACCACCAGTACATTCATCAGTCAGTTATAAAATTGAGAATAAACTAATTTCCATTACACAGTGAGTGAGTAACTTGCTAAAAACAGATGCCCTGGAGTTCTGATGGCTTTAATGGAGCTCAGGCTAACATGTAACTAAGGGGCAGAATGGAGACCGAGAGAATTTAGCTCAATAAAAATAAAATGTGTGTTCAAGTTAAGTCCCAGCTATGCAAGACTGAAGCTGAGCATTGAGAAATTTCTCTTTTGAATGGCGTGAATAATATCATTGAAGCCCCAGCTTCGTCTATATGTAAGCTCAGATAAATGGAAGTTTGTGAGGATTCCAGCCGTTTCCCCAGGAGAAAACCTGCTGTTTTGCACTAGCGGTGTACCTGTGTGACCTTTCAGAGACTGCAGAGGGAAGAGATGCGCACACTCAGTTGACTCTACCCTGATGCTACTTGGTTTGCACCTGTACAATATTACACCAAAGTGATAACAAGTGAGGGTCCTTTTTGGGAGGAGACCCACTGATCCTTGGAAAACGTTTGTTCTGTAACCAAACATATCCTGTTTTCATCTAGAAATAGTCCCTTGGTCAGTCAAAGGAGGGAAGTGAAAAATTCTACACGTCTCAGAGGAGGCACGAATATCATCGTTGCCCAAGGACAGAATTTTCCACAAGTTTGCCAATAAAGGAAAACATCTTGATTGAAACTTGCTCTTTCCTCCCAGCAAGAGTAAACTCGCAGAAAAGGAAGCCCAGCTCTTTGCTGGGTCCTGTGTGTCCTGCCTCCTCCCCGCATTCCCTTAGGAGCTGTGCTCCGAGTTGTGGATGAGCACGTGGAAACCTCGCTCCCTGTAGGGCAGGGCCGACTCGGAAAAGTGCATCTACAAACTGGGCTCTCACTGGGCCCCGTGTAAATGGAATTCCAGTCCCGGCTATGCTCGGACACAGAGAAACTTCCAATGCCTAGAAGGACGAGTCTGTTGTGTCACAGGAGAACAGGACTCTTCCTTATGCCCAGTTCTGACATTGCCAAAGGAAAAACTGGTTGGCTGAGTTTGAGACTAACATCATTTATGTAATAGGGTCTTGGCATTTATATAGAAAGAGCCTGCACTTTTATTAAACTGGCTTTGCACAGCTGCTAGAGGAGTGATGGCTTTTAAAATCTCTTTGGAAATGGCTTGATAGAATTTAGGGTAGGATTATTCTTCTAAGCTGGGAATAATGTTGTTTTGTCGCTAATAGGTCTCAGAGAATTAGAAAATGGCAGTTCTAACGGCTAGGGACCCTTGGTCTGGGTGTCAGGCAATCACTAACAGTGATGTGTACTCAGAAACAGTCGTTGGGAGAGCAGGTTGACACTGGACCTGCTAAAGACTAGTTAGATACAAAATGTTAATTGAAAGTTACAATATATTTTATAATATAGCAATATATTTCATATTTAAAATAAACTGTTATGCTTTCTCCTATCGTTAAAAAATAGCAAGCAGTACAGAGGCAAGATGCAAATTCATATTGAAGCTCATCTGATTCTGAATATAAACACATCAGTTTCTGAGTTCACCATGAAAATGTTTCCTCCGTTAACATCCTGTTGCTCTCTTTTGTTGTTCTCTTCTGGTCAGTGCGGAATGGAGAATCTGGGGCCAAAACTGAGTTGTTGCGCCATTAAAAACTGTGTCTGATGAAGGTGGATCAGTCCTGGTTGAGATTCAAAAACTGAGACAACATGACACAGTTAGAGAATGTTGTTCATTCACTGTCCTTCTTCTGTGGACTTGGATGTTGGCTGTTCCAATCAGACTGATATTTGATTTGTCTCTCTCTCTAAATATATATATATATATATGGGTTTTTTTTTTTGGCTATTAATTCAGCATCTCTTTGGGATCCAAACTACAGGTTGGTGTTGGATTTTGTGCTTTTCCTCCATCAGCTTGGTTGGTCACAACGTCTCTTTTGTTTGTTTCAACACACAGTCCAGGCCCAAGAGTACAGCTTCCAGAACTCATTTCTCAGGTGTGTAAACAACTGTGGCAGGGCACTTGGCACCTAGGTTTGGAGGTCATATGTTGAAGATTTGATAATGGTTTTGTTCAGAGGGAACTCCAGTTCATGTTTGGGCGTTTCCAGTAATGGTGTAAGAAAAAGAGATCACAGTTATTTTTTTCTCTATCTGTATATATTTATATACCATTGCACTGAGTACTTCTTAATAAGCTTCGGTCTATTTTAGTAAAAATCTACATATTACGTGTCTGACAGGAGTTTAGTGTTAATTTCTAGTCATGCAGCCTGGCACAAGCTTTCAGAACGAAGAGCACTCATTTCTATTCTACTACCAGAAGCAGGCAGTTAATATTGCTATCCCTGTAGCACTCCTTTCATAGTGGTATCAATGATCCCGTTCCCACAGTGTTTACTTTGGCCGCGGCAGACAAGGAAGGGATACTGTCCAGGGTGTCATTAAGCCAACTGACTGCAGGGTAGGGAGGGGAAGGGGCTGTTCCCGCCTAACAGGAAACCACCAGATAGCTGTCTAAGGTACTGAAACCGAACACCACAGAGTCAATAGGGACAGCGAAATGACCACTGACAGAGCCTTCATCTGCTTCTAAGCAATACTCAGGGAAGTAGAGGGACCGTGTAGGACCGGGGACGTATTTTAGGATTTAAAAGCAGAAACTTTAAAAGAGCAGTAACCTACTGGTAGTGCAATGACTTCATAGTGTCTCAGTTGTGGTACTGTGATGGTTAGTAACACCGTTTGTTCTGAATGAAACACTGATTCTTAATCTGGGGTGCACTGTATGTTGAGGTACACCCTGAAGGAGGAGAGGTCCTGGGACTATGTGCTAAGCCCATGTTTCTCCCTGCTAATGTCACTAACTGGTTGATAGGTAATAATTACTTTTTGGTAACATTTGACTACATTCAGAGGCAACATTAAAGTGTGGACTAGACAGAGCTGGTCTGAGCTGCTGCTGACGACAAGAGTGACTCCATTTTTAAATCTACTGAATACTCTGTACTTACGAACATTAACTCTTACTTTCATTTGAAGTATAGAGAAATTGAGGTATGAGGTGTTTATATTCATTGGCCAAACATGTGGATTCAGTGTTAGAGTCTTATTTATTCTGATTCTTTGTCTCTACTTTTCTTCTTCTCCATCATTATTTTTTCACCAGGAAATTATTAAAAATCTAAGGGGGATATCTTCAAATACATTAAAATCATTATTTTTTTCAATGCCGTTCTTTCTTGACCTTTAATGAATAATGACAGCTCGCACGCGCTCAGCACTTCAGAGCCTGCACGGACATCTTCCATGTCTCGTCCCCGACGAGACCGCTGTTACACCGCTGGGACCTGCTGAGGTCAGAAGTCAGTGGTGACTCTGGGCCTCACCCTGCCTGTTGTTTTGGATTGTATTAAGCGTTTCCAGAGATGTGGGGTCATGAAGTTACATGTTACGAGAATGGTGAGAGCAGTTCATAGACACTTTATGGCAATTTATTGATGACAATCACGCATATGTGGCCTTTGATCCAAAGATGCAGCTTTTTATTTGGACTTCAATCTAAGGAGGAGGGGGCCCCTAGTCTGATATAATTTGCCAACTGATGCTATGTCCTGAAATTCCACTGAGATTAGTGGTCTTAATGTGTCACAGTACATCCCTGACTTTACAGTACGTGGTGCTATAATATGGCTTAAGCGATGAAGGGGTGGCTCTGTATTTTTAATTCAAGTGTCTAGATAGTTTAGGGAATATTAGAGTACTTTTACCTGTTATTGAGTTATCAGAAGGGTGACAGTACGAGATTTGCCACCGGTCAGCCTTCCAGAAGTGGGCAGAACTCCATCAGTTCAGTATTGGAGTGAGGTTACCATAATTAATAGTTTGTCCATATAGCCAATTCTTGAGAAGATAATTAAGCCTTCTCCGCCACCAAACTTGAAAATAAGATACAAGAAGGCATGGCGTGAGAATCCACCTGCCCCCTTTGCCCATCTGACGGCGATGCTGAGGTGCAGCGGAATTAGCCAAAAGACAGGCTGTGGGAAGGAAACCTGGGTGAGCTACACCCTGGATAATCGATACCTAAGTCATCAAGGGTTGATTGTACTTGCAGGAGGATGCGTAACCTCCCCACAGAAAGCTGAAATACTAGTACAGAGATGCAGCCTCCCATTTACCATTGTAGGATCAACATGCAGATTCGCTTGTTTTTTTTTTTTTTTGGAAGAGTAAGTATTCTTTTGCCAAAGATAAAAACCATACGTAGCTATTGCACTACCAATAGGTCCAGTCATGCTACAAATGCCCATGTGTGTCCAGCATGCCAGTGGCTACTGCTACTGGATGTAAGTCCAGTCACTCCCTTTGCTAGTGCCAGGCATCGGGATTTACCTAAGGATACAGCATGAGCGGTGGCTTAAAGCAGAATCACCCACAGACGACGATGGGCCAGTGATAGTCTGTGCACACTTTTGGGCAGGAGGAGTGGCAGTGGAATCTCTCATGTCATTTGTTTGAAATTCAGATGAAACCCTTATATGCGTGCACGTGCACACACACACACACATCACAGGGTTAAAGCAGAATGGGAAGGGTGACTAGGAATTAAGACTTGATGGCTGTCATTTAAAGGATCAGGACTGGCACGCTCAGGCTGACCTGTCAGTGCTCTTCACATTGTGAAATGAACTAAGGCCACAAAGAAACTGCATGGTTATTTCGTCTGCTTATATGTTCAGCTGTCACTGAAAACACGAGCACCCTTCTTGGACATAAAAAAGGAGAGGGATCTTTCAGATAATCAATAGTTAAAAGAAGAAACAAACAAATAAAAAAGCCAGCAGCAAGTGTGGCATCTGTGGTGTGCAAAACAACCAAGGAAAGTCCTCAAAGGAGTTATCAAGATAAAAATGAGGCCATTAAGGGAATATCAACAGCTATAAAAATAGATAAAAGAAGTAGTTTAGCAAGAAACCACATCTGGAAAGAGTGACCTTTCTAGAGTCGTCTACCTTCTTCTGTCTGGTCCCCTTGTCCTTAGAAGACCAGGTCCAGGGCTGCAGAAGAGATGTCTCCACAGCTAGATGCCACCTTTCAAAGGTGGCGACATCCTGTGCAAAGTGAAACCCGACAGGACAACCATCCGCAAACAACCGCCTTCCGTTTTACCCTAAACAGATGAAATGCTCCCTACAGCATCATTTAACTCCACACCAGCAGAAGTCAAAGACCTCAGAATGAGAAAAGTGACGGATAGCAGGGGGGCTTTGGCATCACAAACGTTCCGCATGGTTAGATGATGGAGCAAGAACATTTTGGGTCCCCATCCCCTGTCCTCTCCATGCCTGTCACTCACTACACCAGATCTGGAGGTTTCTGAAGTCTCTTGGAATTTGAGATGTAATTAGAATCGTTTTTGCACCAAGATTAACGTGGCACAGTAGGAACAGGCTACCGACGCATCAGTGTCACCTTACCTTACCCACAAGGCTCCTTAAGGGCTCCCTTTATCCTCATAACCCTTCACTGTGAAGTGGTTTTAGGGCAGGTAGAAGGGACCACCTGGGTCACTCACCATCATGTCTCCTCCCAGCTCTCAGGTGAAGCACTTGACCTCTTTGCACCCCTAACATCTGGGGCTGGAAACCTGTCGCTGGGTAAATATCACAAATGAGCAAACCCTCAGGCAACACTATTCGCGCAGGTGTCACGGGGTCGCACCGGTTCGTACAGGTGTGCGTGCACGTGCACAGATGCTGTTCCCCTTCCCTCGTGTACATCCACCCGATCACACGCTCCACTGGAACCCAGCTTGTTTGGACATAAGATGAAAACTCTGCAGAAGCTGTTATTTTTAGAAAGCTGCTTATCTCTCCAGAATGCCAACAATTTGGTCTTGTCATTCATCTCAGAGCAAGCATGGTGCATATCCAGGGCGAGGTACCCTGTTTTGCATTTGAAGGGACATGTTTGAAGGGTCATCTTCAGTGACTCTGCAAATGTGGCCACCACTGGCAAGCTACCTGAACTGAGGGCACCCACATCCAGATTCAGACCAACTTAATGAGCATTTAGAGGGTGCCTACTGTGAGCAGGGTAAGGTACCAGGTCCCTCTTTATTAGGGTCAGTTGCAAACAAGAAAAGACCTGGGTTGAATATGGGATGTGTGTGTGTGTGTGTGTGTGCACACGCTTGCAAACACAAGGGTTTATATGGGTATTAATATTGGATGGAAACTCTGGCTTCTTATTTGTCTATTTTTCTTTCGGTCTAAACTGAGTTTTACAACTGTATAAGGATGGGAGGAAAGAATGTCTGTTTTGGCAAGATGTGGGCAGCTCTCTTTTACTTTTGTCATCCCGGGGCTTCCTTAGATGAAAGGAAAGAAGAGAGGTGGGCTGCAGGACCCTGTGGTGAGGACCCATCCCCCCAAGCCGGATTCTACACCCTCCCTCCGAGGGACCCTCCTCTGGGTTGGCTTCACTGTCGCTACTTCAGTGCATCTGACCCCCCACCCCCCCAACGTGAAGACCTGAGATTGAACGTGGATTTCTGTTCTCCACCAACTCTGCAGCAAGGGCCCTGCCAGAGGCGTCGCTTCCTGTCATCTCCTCTTCCTGCTCCCAAGTAGAGGCACCTAAACAGAGATTAGATTTCTGGTTTCAAGGCATATCAAACCAAGCACGCTGAATGAACATGAGTTAGTTAATTAGCTCGGTCTCTCTTCTTTATGTTCCCTGGTCTGAATGTTCCTTGATGGCCAAGTGACCAGGAGAGAGTTGATTTGCATCTTAAGACCTATGGGTAATGCTTCTGGAGTGGGGAGTTTTATTTAGCAACTGCTTGAACTTGTGTACGGGGTCGGGAAGGAGGTGGAGCTGACCCCGATCGGGCTGTCGGAGAGTGGGGTGTGGGTGGTGCCCACCGCCACGCTGACGCCCCGGGCCTCCATGAGGGCAGACAGGAGCTGCTGCTGCTGCTGGCGCAGAGTGTCCGCGATGAGCAGGGGCAGGGAATTGAAGCTGGCGGTGAGATGCTCCAGCTTCGACTCCAGGCTGCCAATCTGTTTCTCTAGATCTTCGCTCCGATCATTGAGTTCTGTGATTAAATCATACATGACGTTTTGCATCTGTTTGGAGAGACAGAGACATGAGAGACAGGAGATGACAGATCATCACAGAAGAATCCACCATGGGTAAAAAGAAACATTCTCCAAATCACAACTGGACCAGCAACATGGATGGACCTGGAGGTTGTCATCCTAAGTGAAGTAAGTCAGACAGAGAAAGAAAAATACCATATGATATTCCTTACAAGTGGAATCTTAAAAAATGACACAAATGAACTGATCTACAAAACAGAAACAGACTCAGACACAGAAAACAAACTTATGGTTACCAGGTGGGGAAGGGGGTGGGAAGGGATAAATTAGGAGTTCAAGATTTGCAGATACTAACTACTATGTATAAAATAGATAAACAAGTTTCTACTGAACAGCACAGGGAACTATATTGAATATCTTGTAGTAACAAATAATGAAAAAGAATATGAAAAGGATTATATGTATGAATATAACTGAAATATGATGCTGTATGCCAGAAATTGACACAGCATTGTAAACTGACTATGCTTCAATAAAACAAACCAACCAACCCCAAATTACAACGGGACCAACTTCCACACTGGCTGTGTCTGATCTGGCCAAGGACGGAGAAGCAGTTTACTTTCTTGGAGACACGGAGGCTCGAATGACACAGCGTTTTTTGTGTGTGTGTGTGTTTTTGCTATTGTTTTCTTATTACAAAAATAATGCACATTACTTATAAAAATATATTAGAAATTATGTAGAATGGAAAAGCAGCAGCACTTTCTTTGTAAGCAGAGCGAGTGTCTAAAGTGTCTTCATGTTCTTACGACGCCCAACCTCTTGGGTCCGACGTCAGTGGAGCCCACTGATTAAGGAGGTGGCACTGTGGTGGGGAGTGGACAGCGCAGTAGACTTATAATTGGTAGGTCAGGGGTCAAGCACACGTCTGCAGCTCACACTAATAACGTGCCTTCCCTCAGGCCCCTTCACCTCTCTGAACCTTGGTTTCCTTATAAAATAGGAGTTAATTAACTACACATAGTCATGAAACTATTCCGTGACCCCCAACCCATTTTCAACACAGTAGCCAGAATGTATGATGTACAACATAACTCACTCAGGCACGGGCTCCAGTGAAAGGGAGCTACCTCGCTGAGGTTACTGCCCCTACACTGCCTGGTCAAAGGGGAGGGACGCTGTCTCCGTCTGGGACATCCCTACGGGCCAGTCTACCTCCAGAGCACCTGTGACTCGGCAGAGGACTCTGTTGATTGTATCACACTTCAGACTCTTCCTCTGCCACATTCTGGTTCCCTCACTCCCTGACGTGCCCCCCAGGAAACCTCCTGTGCTGTGTGCTGTCTCCCAGTGTCCCAGGGGCCCGCTCTGTCTCCAGTGCTTGCCCCCTACCCATCCCATGGCTGACAGCCTTGCCTCCACTAAGCCTCCCCTTAAAAATCACCTTCTCAATGAAGCTGCCCCCATGCCCTTGTTAACGCTGCTCCTTGTCCCCACCTCCATTCCTGATCCCACTAACCCTGCTCAACCTTTTTCTTTTCTTCATGCCGTGTTCTAATACACTAGCTAATTTGCTATTTCTTTGGCTTATTGTCTGTCGTCTACTGCAGGGCAGATACCTTTTGCTGTTGTTTCACTGATGTGTTAAAACAGTATCTGGCACATAGGAGATGCTCAACCAACATTTCTGGATGGACAAAGGTACATAAACATGCCTAGTAAGGGGGCCTGTCGCACGTGATTGGCACTAAAAGATGTCGATAGAACTAATGAATGAATAAAGTGCTGACACAAGGGAAAACCACCATCCCTGCCATCCTTTGCCCAAGGTAGGGGTTTAACTGATGGGGAAAGACCTTTGGCACCACATATTATTTCCATGTACCTAGAAGGTTTCTCAGGGTTTACCACCAAGAGCTGAGTGGCTCGAGAAAAGGACAGAAGACTCCTCAGGGGGCCCAGCCCAGGGCCTGCCTCTAGAGAGCAGGTGCTCAGTGAGCTTTTGTGAATGAACGCGGAAGGAGGTCGTGAGAGCAGGGGAGCAAGCATGGGGTATCTCCAGGGAACTGCAAATACGATAAAACTTTAAAGTAATAAAACAAACTTGTCTTCTGAGAGTTAAATCATAAAAGCAGGTCAGAGCAACACTAAACAAAGGGAGCTCATGCCAAGTGCACCATTTTCCTTCCCGAATCTGCGCGTGGGAGCGCGCCCTGTCTCCAGGCACTGCCATTCATTCAAACTGTCCCAACCAGAAACGTGGGCGTCATCTGGTCCCCCAGCCCCCACAGTTCGCTAGTACCAAATCCTGCCCACCCTATGTCTAAATATCCCTCAAATGCAATTCATTTAATTGGAACGAAATCATTTTTGTCCCAACCAGTACCATCCAGCAGGCTGCGATGCACTCAATATAGTTGAGTCCCATGGTCCTGACGCTACTCTCGGTGGAGGTACTGGGGACTGAACCCTGGACCTTGTACATGCTAAGCATGCGCTCTACCACTGAGCTATCCCCATCCCCTGCCCCTGACTCTACTCTTATCAGGCAACTTTCTGATTATAATTTGGCTTCCAGGGTTAGTCTGTAGAACCCTTGTCTATGTGACAGCCACATTTCTTCCTGCAAATTAACAAATGACATCAGACTTGGGAGCAAGATTCATAGGACACTTCGAGCCCTTGGGTGTTTCTGTGGCTGCAACGGCAGGGAATCTGGCTGGTGGTTGCTCTGTACTGCCCCCCACCCCACTCTCCACCTCTAGGCCCTGTGGCTCTGGACATCTGCTAGTGACACCCTGATCCTATTTCAGCTGAAATTTCAAGTTACTTCAGGAAGATGCAGAAACCACTGGTGCCTGCAGGGGTGAAGGGAGTGGGAAAAGAGGTGAAAGAGAAAAAAAGTGAAGGGAGGTGGCAAAACACGAGAAGCCAGAGAGGAGATGGGGAAAGGGAGACTGAAAAATGTAGTGATACTTCCCCAGCTAGTGACATGCCCCAGAGAATACTGGCTGAAGCCCCAAAAGGAGCCGTCACGGAGGCGGACTGGGCAGCTCTGCCTTTGCAAGATCAGGATTTTATTGTGGATGCCAGGGAGGCGAGGGTGACCCTAGACGTGGAAGTGCTTCCTTCATTAATTAACATTCACAGAAGCTCCTCAAGGCGCGCACTGTTCCTGGAATGTACAGACCACAAATCTATTTGATCGCAGGGCACCCTGATGAGCTCTGAACTAAGTCCGGGCCCCTGGGTCTTGGCTTCTGTGCTGTGGCTGGCCAACAACCCAACCTTGGGAGGGTCTCTTTGCTCCTTTAGATCTTGGTTTCCTCATGTCTATTCCTAATCAGAACTACCACATGCAAAACCGTTAGAGTTCACAAAGCATTTTCATGGAGATCATCTCATTTGATCAGTTGCACCTCAGATGTGAAGCATTATTTTTACATTTCAATGGGAGAAACTGAAGCTAGCACATAAAGTATCCGAGCCCCCAGCTCTGCCGCCCTGTGAGAGAGCTCTTCAATAGAGCCAGTGGTATGTGGAGGCCACACGCCTTTCTCTTAATCTAGAGAGGACCAAAGGCAGGGCTGGAAGGTGGTGAGCTGGGAGGACAAAACACAGAACAAAAAGAGAGACAACATGGCATTATTATGTGTCCCCCATTCTGTTGCCTGGAGACAGGATGTCAGGGGGAGTGTGGACCAATGTGAATGATGCTAGGCTGATGCCAGGACCTTGGCTGTGCCTCCCAGGAAGAAAGACTAAGACTAGATGGATGTCAGAGTTCGCCCTCCTGGCAGGTCCCACCCCCATCCCCCTGCAGCCCTGCAGGAGCCTTCCTGTAACCCTCTCCTCCACTCCCTTTCTCTCCAGGTAACTCGCTCCCAGGTTATTGATGGTTTAGTTCCCCACCCAATTCACATGAGCCTCTTTCCAATTCATGGACTTTTTCCCTTTGCTCAGCCTGCTTTGCACGGAGCCCCATCTCTGTGAGAGGCAAAGCTGGCACTGAAGAAATCCAGGCTTGAAAGTCCAGTTTACCTGCTGTTTCCAGGAGAACACAGCCACAGCGAGTCCTGCCAGGTGAGAGGGGAGGCAGGAAACATGGCAACTTGTAAAAGAAATATCTTAGGGCTTGTTGGGGCATTCCAGCATCTCCCGGCTCGGGTCCCCAGCCATGCTTTCCCTACATGACCCTCCTCCTGGCCACAGCTGATTGGTCCAAGGGTGCACAAGTGACCCAAACTGACCAGTCATCTCATCCCTTCTGAGGATTAGAACTAAGACCAATAGGAGGCCGATTTGTCTTTGCCTGTGGCTAGACTCGAGCATGTCCTTTCTGGGTAGGGGCCTGCCCTGGTCTGCCATGGAGACAGGAGGCATAGGAAGTTGTCAGGAGAGGAGGGAGAGAAAGAGCTGAAGCAGGAATACTTCCCAGGGTGAGGTCCAGTTCTGGTTGGTTCCTTCCTAAGGCTGACCACGTGCCTGCCTTAAGGTTCTGCCTGGAATGAGACTCCTGGTATCCTTATAGCAAACGCCTCCATCTTTAAACCTGTTTCTAATACCAAGAGTGTTAACCAACGTACCCAAGACCCAGGGGGTTCCCTCCTGCACTCGGGCTCTCCATTCACACCCCCGCCTCCCCTAGGCTCCCAGGAGCCCTGCACTCTGCCTCAGCGCCCCCTCCAAAGGCGCACAGACCTGTGGGCTTCTCCCTGCCCTTCCTAGCCACGTACTCCCTGATTGAAGCCCTCCCTGGCCTGGGGGGGGGGCTTTCTCTGGCTTGATCCCTGCATTGAACAAGGCACATGCATGTCAGCCAACAACTGGCAATTTCTCCGATTGTACCCTCTTCTCAAAGGGGCTTACTTTGCCTGATGGAGTTTCTGTTGCTTACCCAGGGAGCGGGTTCCATGATGCTAACTGACATCTGCGGCAATGTGCTGCCAGCCTGGCCCTGGGCTGCACACTTGATAGATGATTCCTATCAAGAGGCGCTAGGGAAGAGGGGCTGAGGAGGGGAGGCCCCTTCTTCAGCGGTGCCTCCACACAGCTCAGCCAATAGCGCAGGCTTTGGTTCTTTTGCTCTGGAGATTTGCAGGAGGGGTGAATTGCTTTACAGTATTTAAGGCAGTTTGGTTCCAAAATGCAGAATGACAGTGAGGCCCTCAAAGGAGGGTTCTCTTTTTTGGCATCTTCATGAGAAATAAAGAAATGCACCTACCACCCCCACCACCAATCTGGGGCCGGGAAAGCTGAGTTGTAAGGACTGGAGGATGCAGAAAAATGAATTTCCAATTATAACGGCAAACCGGAAGGACTTTCCTTGGTGTGACCTAGGCAGCAGCATCGCTATTGTCACCACTGGGGCTCATCAGTGTGCAAACTCAAGCTTATCCTTTGCAGCCCTTCGTGTACAGCTCATCGGGAAACACGCAAAAAGATTTAGCCAATCAGCTAATTCACTCGCAGGCAAGACAAACCTGAGCGACTGAATTTAAGAAACAAATGCCAGGCTTTAAAAGTCAACAACACACACCAGTAGACTGCACGCGTCAAGAACATGAACTTAGATTATTTTTTAATGAAGGAGGAAGTGGTCTTTGCTTTCCTGGTCCTGCAACGTCCAAGTGGGCAGTGGCCTGCTCTTCCCGGCCACCTCTGAGAAATCGAAATGGCAGCATCTGTGAACCCTTTACGAGGTCTTCAGGTTTTGCCACTCACCTTGGAAAGGTCCACGAGGGTGTTGGCTTGGTCGCTCAGCTTCCTCTGCTCCATCTTGACGCTCCTCAGTCTGTGGGAAAGAGTCGTAACAGCCGTACGCCTCAGTGCCTGCTAGGTTCAGCCCCACGAGCAGATTGCACCTCCACATCAGTTCGCCTGATTTTGGAACTTAGTACAACCAGGGACCTTGAGCATGGGTGACAACTAACCAGAATCAAAGGCTCGGCAGGCACACTCTTGTCCCCACGCCTGCTTGCCCTTGGTCACTTCTGTTCCCTCACCACTCCCAGATCATTTCCCCGCTTCCACACCTTTACCTAAGCTGTTCCATCTCAAATGCCCCACTCTCAGCCTTCCAGGTTCCCGAAACCTCCAGGTCAGAATAAATGTTTTCATCCTCTACTTTTAAAAATCCACTCTACTTTTAAAGACTTAGCTTATAGAAAGCACTGACCACAATTTGTTCTGCTTCAAGTTGTAGTGTGTGTGTGTGTGTGTGTGCGCAGAATGTGAGAGCCCTTAGAGGCTCTTACCTAATTTTTACTTTCCATAGCTGTCTGCCCAATGCTTGGCAGCGGCAGGTGCAGTAAATGAAGAAATAGACTGCCCTGGGTCCAGGCCACCCCCCACCCAGTGCCTGCTGAGTGCCACAGAATGGATTTCTTCTGCTCCTCTTAAGGATATGGGAAGATATTGATGGAGTTCTGGGGAACCCATCACTTCCAGTTTGGTCCTCTGGTGGCTGAGCTGCCCCGGCATACTCACTGGTGAATAGCTTGGAGGAACTTCCTCTGGTGTTTCCTGACTTTGGCGTGGTCAATCTTCTTTAGCAGCTTCGTGTGTTTATAGATTAGCCACGTTTCCCGAAGGACGTTGGCTGCAGCATTCTTGATCTGAGGGAAAGTAAATAAGGCAGGTTGCTGTCAGGTGAACATTCCCAGGTTCACACAGCATGTTTTTTGTGTTTGCTGATAGAGTCTACCTTATGAGGAGACGATTCTTTTCCCTGAATCAAATCAGGAACACTTAGAAAGGATGAATAAAATGCATCTCTTGTTAATCCTGTGTTGGATACAGTAGACCGGAGCCTGAAGTTGAGGGGTGTTTCCCATTTCTTCCTTGATCATTTCAGGACAGCCTCTCCACTGCGGTCACTGATGCTATATTTAGGCAGGCTGCATTACCGAGACCTGGAGGCCTGGGGCACCCTTTGAAAAGATAAATATGTACCACTGCTGCCCTTGGATGCAGAGTTCTACACTCTACCCGAGACTTCTATTTACTGCCCATGGTACATTTCTTGGATTCAGAGAGTAAACAGATTTCCTATCAGCTGGAGATTTAAAAAGCCCTCTTTGAGGAAAGGTCTTTCCCACCGAATGGAATTATAGGTAACAACCAGCCCCTTGTTTCCTCTCCCAAATGGCCAAAAACCTTTACACTGCAGTTTGACATGTAAATATAATGGGCACAAAACTGAAATAATTTCAAAGCAGTGTCTGAAAATCAGTGCAGACATGTCGGTGTGAAACCAGAGCTGCCTCTCTCCCAAGGCTGGCTTCTTCTCTGCACGGCAATCACACATTTCAACATATGACGCTGTCATCTGTTGACATGGAAACCGCTGATCTCACCCAGCTCACGACAGAGCTGAGACATATCAATGGCATCCAGATGGCAAGGGACAAAGTTTTAATCCAAACACAGACATCTTCAGCAATTAGTAACAAGAGCAAGAGGAAACATTTCTTATTAAGCACAAGCTAGACAGATTTTTGATGAACCGTTCCCATTTCTGTCAGCCATGCAAATTGGCACAGGCCCACAGGCCCGGGGCCTGGAAGTGAAGCAGGCCAGCCTAGTAGAAATCAGGTTACTAGCCAGAAAGGATTTTAATAAAATTGGAGAGGACAGACCTGCTTCTTCAGACTGACATCAACAGATGGGACGTTGTTAAAATACTGAGACGTGTGGGAAGGCCTCAGAAACATTGTTTTGCAGCCTGATAACTTGTGTGTGTATGTTTTAAAAATTTATTACTAAGGCTGGATTGTATTTTTCATCGGCGCTGAAGCAATGTTTTAAAAGAACAGCTAGGTCTTCTCAGAACTAGCTAAGCCACGTAAATATTGCTTTTTTGTCCAGTAAAAATGGCTTTAAATGATTTAATTGCCCACCTCTGGAACTTTCTTGCCTGAAAGGAAGCAGGTGGTGGTGAGTAGCAGCTGGAAATGGTGGGGGACCAGGTAGGAGGGGGGAGGCGGAGGAAGGGGTGGTCACGGGGGTTCTGTCCAGGGGCTGGAGTGGACATCAGCCTCCCGGCCAAAGAGGCAGCACAGAAGGGAAGGCTTTCTCTCTGCGGAGTGGAGGGAGAGGGCCACTTGGTACGTGATTTCTTCAGTTTTCCTAGGCACTTAGCCTCTAAGGAAAGCCTCACAGAAGTGCAGGAGGGAGAAGCCTGCTTTTAGGATGACTGGCAGAGCCCCAGTTACACCAGTCTCCTCTTTGGAATACTGAGAAAACCACAGAATGTCAATGCTGATGAACCTTTGACAATTGCCTCTGTCTTGATGTGCAGCAAACAAGTGAAATTGGAAAGCTTGCAGGTGAATCCCTGTTCTGCCAGTTTGGGAGGAAATGCTTCATTATCTATAAGACAGGAAAAATAAATCCTTACCTAAAGGGTTGCTATGAGGCCCAAAGGAGGCCATGACCATGCTGCTGACGGTGCTGGGGCTGACAGCGCACATTTACCGGGTGCCAGTTTGCCTACATGTACACTCATGTAATCATCACAGCCACCCTACCAGGCAGGTGCTAATATTAGCCCCATTTTACAGATGAGGAAACTGAGACCCAGACCCAGACCATAAAGTTATAAATGGCAAACTGAGTCAATGTGGATTTAAGAGTTCTCTAAATTACAGTGTACCAGAAAGACACTAGCCGTCATCATCTGGCCCAAACCTGCACTGAAAATATGAGGAAACAACGGCTTCAGAGACAGAATCCCACAGCTAGCTAATGGCCAAGTCAAGACAAGAGCCAGGTCCAAAAAGAACATAAGGGTTTCATGTGGTCTGAAGAAAGCTCTAAGTAGATATCATCTCTACACAAACAGAACTGTTTCCTGTTTTCCAGGATGAAGGAACTGGAAAGGACATTAGACTTGTTTTTAATCATCACGGCCGTCACTTAGCAATATGACAGAACAGGGAGTCTGGGTCCTGCACTTAACTTTAGCCCAAATATTAGGTACTAAAATTACAGCACAGCCTGGGTAGCTGAGCGAAGCAGCCACAGCATCTTTATGGGTTTGAACAGGAGGCCCCTGCGTTTTCAGGAAAGTGTCGTTAAACACAAGCCTTGGTGCTGACTCGGAATTAATCGCCAGCAAACAGCCCGGCACAAAGCTAAGTAGATCAATATCTGCAAGAGAAAAAGAAATAGGCTTTTAACTGCACTGTGCTTTCCCAGGTCGACAGTAAACGCTATTGTGACCAGGTTCTCCCTCCAATTCACCTGGCTGATGGCTTTGAGCATCACTGGGGCGGGAAGAGGTGGAGGTCGGGTGCCCCTTCTGGGAGCCACTGAGCTTCCGTGGGGCTCCCAAGCACAGTTCCCTGATGGGAACTTGGGTACCCTCTGAGCTCTCCTGGTGGGCAGGGGCACCACAGCCCAGAGATGCTCTTGGGGATTGAGGTTGGCAGTGGGATGGGTCAGGGAACTGGGAAGAACTGGGTAAAGTTGGCCACGATCTATAGGCTCAGGGGTGGTTAGAGGAAGGCCATTTGTGCGTGGAAGGCTGGCTGTTTCATCCCACAAACCCATAAGCTGATTGTTTTCTGAGGGTCCATTCATTCTCTACCAAAAAATTGTATGCTTTCACTCTGATGGGGGCCAGAGAATGGGCTCAGTCACCTGTGTACTTCAGAGTGGTCCCTAAGATGAATGGGCCTGGGCAGGAAAGTCATCCAACAAAGATTTTGCAAATCATACTGACAGCTAACATTCATGGAGTGCTTACTGTGTGCCAGGCTCTGTGCTAAACACTTTATGTTTACACTCTTCCATCAGCCCTCAGAAAAATCTCACAAGCGGATGAATTATCATCTCTGCCTTGGACCAGTTATGGAGACTCTCAGAGACTCAATTTTTTTGATTCCTTCCTTCCAAATACACTTACTGAGCCCCCAAGATGGGGCAAACACTGTTCTCGGCAGTAAGACTACAGGGACACACAAACCAACAGCATGCTTCCCTCTGGAGCTTCTACTCTTGTGCAGCCGGCACGCAGTCAGTGATGCAACATCAGGTGGTAAGTGCTTCAGAGACACGGCAGCACAGCAGGTGCTACAGCGATGCCAATGCTCCTGGTCTGTGAAATGGGACTGCGGCTGATGAAACGAGGATGCACTAAAGCACTCAGCACAGAGCCGGGCTGCACTGCCCCTCTGTATGCGGTAGCTTTATTGCTGTTCTTCCCCCCAGCAGATGTCAGCTTCTTCCCCCACCTCCAGCAAAAGAAAGCATAAACCAGAACACATATGTCTGTCCCTTGAGCTCTTGGCCATATTATCCACGTCAACCACTTGCTCTGGCCACCTCTCTGCCAGGGTAGCCTGCCTCTCGGTACTACGGGGAGCTGTTGCAGAGGAACATGCTGGGCAGGATGAGAGGCACCCTTCTCGTCCCCCACCCATGCCCTGGGAGAGCAATTCCAGGATCCCCACTGGTGGGGACCCCCCAGGGAAGAAATATTAGCATGTCCACGCTGTTGGCAGGAATTCTTCCCAGGGAAAGAGTTTTCGACCTGGAGGCTGGAGAGGGGGCAGGAAGGAAAGAAGGGGGGCCGATCAAGCCTGGCAGGTGGGTGCGACTTAAATAACTTCAAGAAGTTCCAGAGTTTGAATTCAGATTAATAAAGCTAAAGGGATGAGAAAATCGCAATCCGAGAAGCCTCGGGCCAGCCCCGCCTTCAGACACTGCACTGCAGGTGTCCCTTACACCCAGGGCCCGCCCGTCTTCCCCACCCTCATCCCCACAGACTCCCTGCTGGCCCCGGTGGCTGTCATCTCTTCAGACTCCCTGCTTATATCCTCTCTCCTTCCCTCGTCTGTCCAATCCCAGAGCCCATTCTCAGGCTTCTCGCCCGCTTCACCCGGAAGCCCTCACCAAACACTTAGAAATGGGGGCTGCACCGCTGTGGCTGGCAGGACACTGGGGCAGGGAGCAGGGAGGGATGTCCTCCTGTGGTTCAGAGCTGGCATTTGTAGCTCTTTCCCCAAAGCAACATAGTAATGAATCACAGCTAATTCTATCATGCTATTATCAGCTTGTTTGGAGGTAAACTGGCCTTTCTCTCCAGCAGGCCTGGGACCCTAACCACTATTCTGAGTTCCAGGGAACTGACTGTTCTGGAAAACCCACTGGGTTATGGCAGGAGAGCTTCCTGGCAGCCTGAGAACAAACGGCAGCCCTGGCTGGGACCCAGCTCGCTGCATATGGCTGGGGGCCCGCCCTTGCCCATCGCTGGGCCTGAGAGGCTCATCCTTAAGAATCCTTCCAGCTCAAAACTCAGTGTTGCTATGGCTATTGTCAAAGACAAACTATACACACTCTGTCTAGGACAGAACTTTCATGGGTGATATAATTTATAATCCCCTTCTGGGGAGAATTAGCATTCCTGATAACTGCTTGACTGATTATCTGATAAATTTTTAGAAAATTAAGATGGGTTCTGGGAATCCACTCACAGGTCCAACCAGGTGCCAGTTAGGGGTCTAGTGTCCTTTATCCAGACCTTCTGCACCCTGTATAACAATGACTACCCTTGTCTTTTCCTATAAAAGACCTCTTCTGTGAGTAAATCTTTGAATTAACTTGCTGGGGAAAAAAAGTTTTTTTTCCCAGCAGGGTTGTGATAAAACTTTGACACATGTTCATAATTAGTTTTCTTTACTCTTTCTGTCTCTGGCCGCTGGAAAGAAAGGAGTTGCCACCATGTCCGCGCATCTGCAATGATGGTCATGCGGAACTGCTTCAGCGTCTTGATCAAGAGGAGCAAGCAGACGTACAGCACCGAACCAATAACCTGAAGGCCCGCATCTCCTCCCACTACAGTGGGCGGATCCACTGCAAGACTGTGGGCGTGGGGCCAGTGGCCGATGGCAAAGGTGTCATGGTGGTGATGAAACGGAGATCCAGCCAGCGAAAGCCAGCCACTTCCTACGTTTGGACCATCATCAACAAAAACGTGCGGGCCACCCTCAGCAGCATCTGTCACATGATCTGAAAGAAAAGTACTGCCAAGATCTGCGCATGGCTGCCATCCACAGAGCCAGCGCCATCCTGCGCAGCCAGAAGCCTGTGATGGTGAAGGGGAAGCAGACCCGCCCCACCAAGAGCTCCTGAGCACTCCCTTCCCAGAGCAATAAAGATGTCAGCCGAACAAAAAAACAAAAAAAAAAGAAAGTTTTCTTTAGCACTGATGAGTCCTGGGGGGTTACTAAAAGTTTTTGAGCAGGATGGTGATATGTTCAGAGTTAAGTCTTAGAGTCTAAAGAGATTCACAAGGAAGCAAAGTACAGGATGACTCAGGTAAGGGAGGCCCAAGAGAGATGAGGAGGTAGCAGGAAACTGTGATGGGGGTGCAAGACTGAGACGGTGGCTTGAAGGATGGTGGGGCAGAGGGCCTGGAGAGGCTGGCATGCATGAACAGCCGTGGCCAGGTCAAATCAGACTCTGAAGCTGCTCATCCCCCTGTGGGGACCAGGGCAGAGAGGAGTTGGAGATGCTGCTAAGATGTCAAGCCTGGAGACTGGAAGGATGGTGATGCCATCAGGTGACCAGGGAAGTCAGGAGAAGGCACTCACGTTGGGGAGACATGGTTTGGTTTTGGTCTCACTCATTGACTTCATGGGGCAAGGTGCTTGGATGAAATATTTGAGGCAAGAGCCCATCATGGCAAGGATGAGACATGGTCCTTAGCCAGGGGCACATACACATACCATGGTGCTGCCTGCAGGCTTGACAGGGAGAGTAGGTGTGGCAAACAGAACATCTTTCGTGGTGCCGTTGAAACCAAGTGTGTCCATGGGCAGCTACCTTGTCCTTTAGAAAGGAGAGGTGCTCTCTGAGGGCAGAGACCATCTCTTACCCATCTTGGTGTCCTCAGAACACCAGGTACAGCATCCAGCAGGGGATCCCTGTGATAGGTATGTTTAGTCACATAGAGTGGAGAGATGGGGATGTGTAGCATTGAGTGGGCGAAAAGATAGGATCTTTTTTATAGTCTCTCTGTGTGTCATCTACGTATATGTTATCTAGTAGCCTAGAGGTTTGCAATAAATTGTAATTCTAGATTAACAACGGCAGTAACACTGCAAAGTCAGTGTGGGAAGATCTGATTGCATTAAGTGCACAGATGATGTTGCCACCAGGGTTGACAAGTTATACAAGAGAAAGAAGAAAAGCCATGCGATTCAGGAAAAGCAGAAACTGAGTCCTGACCCTGTGTGACCAGACTTCTGCCCCACCCCTACCCCTGCCTCCCTGGCAAATAAATAAAAATGGTGGGGCTCTAATGGTAAAGGCTGGACTGAAACCTTTATGTCAAGGCAGGCAGAATGAATAAACACTAGAACAACTTGAGTATTTTTGTGATTAATAGGTTACAATTCCTCTTTTCTGGTTTTTGGCTTAGATGTTTGAAGAATTAAGGTCGCATGTACTTGTAAGAGATGGCTTTTATCTGTTAAATCTGCTAATTGCCCTCTCCTGACAGGTTTGCAATTATGCCACAATCAGCGCCTCCAGCGATTGGCTCTTCCTCTGTGAATTCACTGAGATCTTATGAATAGACTGAGCTTAGCGTCGGTTTGACCCATGAGACGCTCCAGCTGGACACACTGGGCTGTTTGGAGAGGACACAGGATGGATGAGGCAGCACCAGGGGAAGAAGGGTGGGCTTCTCTGAGGCCAGGTCAAAGGGAGCTGAAGCCAGAGCAGGCCCAGCACCGCGCCTTTCAATGACGGTTATGGAAAAGAACCTTTCAAAGTCCCAGCCCTGCAAGCTTTGAGAATCCTTTCTCTGTAAGAACCATCTCTTTCGTGTTGTTTGTTTTTTTGGGAAAAGATACGAGACATTAAAGGGACATTTCAACAGATTTAAGTGTTCTCAGAAAAGTGAGATGTTATTTGATTAAAAAGGTGACTTGTACTCACGGATGCACAATAAATATTTGTTGGTTTCATTTTCGGTCCTACTTTTCAAAAAGTAAGCGGATCTGAGGAGGATTTTAGAGAATTATTTTTGAAAGATTGAAATTAGCAACCACAATCTCATCTCCTTCTACAATTATAGTGCAGGGAAATTGTTTATTTTCCTGTCATAGGAGGGAGCTGGCTTTCCTCAGCTTTATTTTCCTCTAGTGTCTGATTCATGGAGTGAAAAATGGAGAGGACAAAGGAATAACATGAAATACAAAGCATATCCCTGGTTGCAAAAGCAAACCAGAATAAACAGAGACCATTGATATCTCTGCTCTAAAAAAGAGCTTCTGAGCAGGTTTTGGAGGGCAAACTCCCTTGCTCCTGACTCCTGCACTAAATTATTCTGGGAGAATAGATGCAAATATATTTGCATTTAGGTTCCACCAACTTTGGTAAATTTGCTCCAACCCGAGCATGCTTATCAGGGGGCTGAGGGAAAGCAGCTGGGTTACAGGGTTTGGGGTGAACCCGGCCGGCTCACCCACGGGCACAGCCGTCAACCCTGCCGTCTTGACGCTACAAGTCACATTTCCTTTAGTACATCGGACAGCGCGGGGCCACGATGTACCGTATACAACCATCTGTATGTCAACAACAGAAGCGTATTGGCCTGCATCCTTTCTTGTCAACATCTGTGGAGGCTCTTTAAAGAGCCCAGTACGTGTAATCAAAGACCAAACAATCAAGCACCATAAATAATTCTGCAGAGAAACTGGAGAGGCCTTGGCAGCTTCTCCACCCCCCTCGGCCTCCCTCTGAGCTCACACCCTGTCACACTCCCTCCTTCTTTTCTTCTCCCTTCCTGCCTTTGTCTCCATTTCCGACACATTTTTACTGCACCGCAACATTCATCACTGACGTTTCTCCAGCTTTCAAAAACCCCAATCAAAATGTGGTTGCTCGTAGGTCTCCTAACCCACTTTAGTCCTAAATGAGGAAGACTTGCTCTGGCGGCCACGACCCCAGCACAGGGTCCCGCTTCTCTCTCATTTTGGAAAGAGGAGAGTTTTGCAGGAACTCATATTACTGACCCTCGTTCAGCCTGCAGCTCTAAAGAATTTTCCATAAAAGCTGTCATTAAATAAACAGCTCCTGCCTCGCTCATTTGGCCCGCTGTTATCCTGGAAGGCGCATTTCTGTCTCTTCTAAATGGGCCTTTTCTTCTCTGACAATTCAGTGGGAAGTCAGACTTTTTGCAGCTAAACGATCTCCCCAATCCTGCTTATATTCAGTTTTTCACCCTCCTTAATACCTTCATCAGGGTACAGGGAGAAATATTATTTGGAAAACCTGAAAGGGGAAGATTGGTTGATGACATTTGGAGGGACATTATTTAGGAGTGATCATCTGTAATGATTTTTTTTATAAGGACTGGACTTAAATAACATTTCCAATATCATTTTTTAAGACTTTCCACTGCTCCGCCTAATGAGAATCATGAAAATATTTGAGCATAAACAGAAACGCCTCATGCTGGGTGATTTACTCGGCACCGTTTGGCAAGGGGGCGGGGTACTTCATTGTATGCTATAGATTTCATTATCAGGAAAATTATTTGGTTGCCTGAACCACATATAGTAATTTAGGAGCAGACAGGAGCCTGGGCATCGGGAGACTGTGGCAGTTTTGTGCCAGCTGTGTGCATGTGTCCGGGGCTCCCTCAGCCCTCCTGACCTGTCATGGCTGCTTTCTGACCACCTCCCATGTGGGCTTATGTCCCCCCGTAAACCGTGGGCAGTGGAGTTTTACCCGTTTGGTGAGCTGAGTGTCCATCATGAAGTTGTGAACGTGCTTCTCCGCTTTGGTGAGTTCCAGCTTTCGGGCCACCACGGCCACCACGAGGGCAGTGCAGCCTGCACCCTGTGGGGGGACAGCAAGAGGGCCAGAGGAGAGAGCATGTCATTAAGAGGCAGGGCTCAGGCAGAAGGCTCAGTGCGCCCCGCGTCTGCTGTGGGGTTCCCGGGAGCGGAGTGGGGACCTGAGCTCGCTGGCTGGTCAAGGCCACGCCACAAAACCCATCGGGGCCCTGATTCCCGGCCCTGCACAGCGGCCTACAGCGCCCTTGGCTTAGCTGCGGAGCTGTGTCCGGGAGACTGAGTCACTACAGAACAGGCCAGTTCTGATGGGGGCAGGATACTGGAGGGGGCTGCGGCTTGGGGGGAATGTAAAACAACAGACATCCCTTGGTCACCTGCCAGGCTGTGCAGGGAAGAAGGAAGGTCCGGCACACGCACGCCCCGCTCTCCCTCATGCACATCCCAGCCCCGCTGCCAGATCCCGAGCAGGGGGCCAGGAGGAAAGAAAGCCATGCAGTATGGATGGAACACCTGCTGGTTGTAAAGAGTTTTCCTGAAAACAATCTAATGAAGAGGCAAAACATTTGCCCCTAAGTCCGCTTCCCAGCGGAACACTGGTCGGCAGGAGTCTGCCTGTTCCTCGGCTGGGCCTTTTTACCTGGAAGTCTAGGCTATGACTCAGCACAAGAAATCAGTTTCTTCCTGCTTTCACCAGGAGGCTCAGGAAGTCACCATCTTGCAGAGATTTTAAAGACAACACCATGCCTGCCTCAAACCAGTGCTTTAAGGGAACAAGCAAAAGGCCCCCAGTATTTTCCAGAGCAGCATTCCTGTTCTGCTCAGGTAGGTCAGTTCTAGCGGGTGGGGGGAGGGGGGAGGCGGAGTGAAAGAAGCAGGTTACACAGCACTCTCTCTCCCCTAATCTTCTGGGTGCTGAGAAATGAGCAGAAAGAGGCTCATCCCAATATCCTCCTGAAGGACTTTCAAGTCCTCTTCACTGACCAGCCTGTGCCTGGGCTGTGAGGGGGTGGGGTGTAGGGGAGATGGCAGTGGAGGGAATGCTGCAGTGAGGGGCAGTGAGAGAAATCCACTTGTCCCCGATTCTTCTGCAGGCAGCAGACATGAGCCACGCCCCCGCCCCGGTCCTTGGACCAGAGCATGCCCTCCCCAGCGTGCTCTTCTTGCACACGGACCCCTGGGCTGCCCTGACCTCCACTCATGGAGGGAGACGATGCACTCAGAGAAGTCAGTGCTTTGATCCTCGAGATGCCAAACAGTAATTCCAGTTGCCACAGAGCTCAGTTTAGCAATTGAGGTTCCAGGGTTGAAGGAATCCATCCATAATGTTTGGGGCTCACCAGGTCTAACAGTGTGTGTGGGAAAGAGTAAAGGATGTTTTGAAAGGTACTGTAGCCTGTACCAGCATCGGCAGGAAGGCATATGGCAAATCAACCCCCTGCTCTCTCCTCCATCATCTCTTTCTTTCCTTTTCCACAGGTTGGCAGAGGCTGGCCGGCACGGGGTTTTGGCATGACCGAAGCTGGCAATGCTGTCCCCTAGCTTTCCACAAGGCTTCCCATGAAAACAACCTCGTGTTTCTTGGTACATTTCGTCACTTGGTCAGCCACCCATTTCCAGCACAACAAGCTGAAAAGGACAGAGTCCGTGTGAACTTTCCTTTTCTGACCTCATTTTCCTTTCTTGTTCAGGGACGGCCCTGTTTTCTTGGCACCTGTGACCTGCCGGAGACTCTGTGCCCAGTTTTCAAAGGATGTGTTCGGGCAGTTGGACAGCCTGGTCTGTAGGTGTCATCAGTTTAGCCAGGCCTCCAAAAGCAAAAAATAACTTAAAAAGAAGCTGTTCTAGAGGGAAGATGTGTGTTCCATTTCCCCTCAACCAGACCGAGTATATTCCTTCTCTTTTGTATGGAGTTCCAGAAGTACCCTGGGCTGAGAGCCCCAAAAGAGGGATATGTCATAGTGTGAAGAATGGAGCATCGGATGGAGAGGGTTCTTCCCAGGCTCCAGCCTCCCTCACCTCCCTGGGTCCAGGGAAACTACTTAAATCACCCCGAGAGCTGGGAGGGTGGGCAGGATCAGCTTGAAGGAGTCTCCATGCTCAGCACGCCACTGGGGGAGTCTCATTAAAACAATCAACCATCCACAATCCCGAATTCCCAGGGTCTAGATGGATTGCTCCGTGGTTCTTACCACTGAAAGCAGGTGGACTCCAATGGGAAGCTCGCGTGTTTTACCTGAGGAACCGTCTGTCTCTCATGATTCAGACACACTTCTGCAGGGAGGCAGGAGGGTGGGCTTGAAGACATTTCCTAGTTTCTTTCAACTTAAAGATGTCAAGACTCCTTTATTAGGGATGTTCCTCTGAAGAATGCTTGGTTCTTAACCCCTAATTCTAAGTTGAATAGAGAGCAGTGGATACTTTCAACTTGATTTTTCTTTTAGAAAACCGGTCCTCTGGATGGATTAGGGAAGTAGCCAATAATGAAGCCTAATCTGGTCGTTCCCATTAAGAGGCAACCTTGTTAACGATGGGGTCAGACGTTAGCAACCTTCCGAAAGTGGGCAGGTGCTAAAATCCAGACTGGTCCTCTCCGCTGTGTGTGTGTGTGTGTGTGTGTGTGAGAGAGAGAGAGAGGAGGGTGGGAGGGGGGAGAGTGGGAGGAAGGGAAGGGAGGGAAAGGAAGAGGGGAGATGCAGAGAGAGAGCCAGAGCAGAGACCGAGACAGGGAACACGTTGCAATGCCCCCTCAGCAGTGTGAGACAGACAGGGAAAGAGGACAGGAGGGAGCACGGGAGTAGGAAAAAAGGATGGCTGATGGGATTGAGAGGATGGCAGGAAAAACAAGGAGCACCTGAGCCTTGAGTCAGACGTTAATGGTGGACTTCGGCTCAGGAGAGGAAAGAAAGAAGTACCATCGAAACCCCCTCCTCCCATGGCGTCCACCTTTAAGTGGTGTCGCGATCACCTGCGCCCCTTTGGGGATGACGGGCCCTGTTACTTAGATGAGCTTACAGTCTGACAGCAGCACGTAAGCCGTTTGGGAATGCTTGTGTGGTGTGGCAGTGATGCGGGCTGGTTTGAAAAGACAAGTTGCCAAGGACTTGGCTGGTCTGGGGGTGTGAGAGCTCATGCTGTCCTCGCTGTCCTCGTGTGGAATCTCAGAAACGGCTGGTGGGCAGAGGGGGCGTGTGAGGAGAGGACGGAGTGGGACGGAAGAGAGGAAGCAGCTGCTGGTACGACTTCCATGGGGTCAGATGGTGGAGCAAATCCATGACTCAGACTTCTGCCTTCAGTCGTGCCAAGTCCTGAATCACAGTTGACACCAACTGGATTCCCTGGGTCTTCTCTGTCCAATGCGATTTCCATGGGACGGTGACGGGAGGGAGGGGTCCACCTCTAACGAGGTCACACTTTCCAAGGTACACGACGAGCAGCAGCACAGGAGGGAACGGAGAAAGGAGTGGCTGGCGTGGTGTGAACATACCGAACTCATCTATAGATTTGGACCCTAATCAGAGACCCGGTCTCCTCCACACCGGTCCTCCTCCTTCTTGTGTCCAAGAGACATTTTCCAGCTGGAAAACCTTAGAATCTTGTAAAACAAGTGTCCCAGGGGGAAAAGTATGAGGTGTTCTTAACTAAAGAAGCATGAAATAAAATAAAACATAAATGAAAGTGACAAATGGAGGAGGGAAGCCTGGAGGATTTACAGTTGGATTCTGTTTCTGCAACAGATTCCATGTAACCACTAAAATAACATCAATTGGTTTGAAACCAAGGTGTTTCAGGGAGAAGCTCATCTTCTAAAACTGACATTAAGCAGATGTCTTGCTGAGCCCTCCTTTTCCCTCCTCCCGAAATGACTCAATTCGCGCTACCTTTTACTTCATCATCCTTTTCCTTTGACAGTTCAAAGAAGCATCTCTCATGAAGCCTTGGGGGGAAAGCTCAGTGTCCCCAGCAGATAGCTTGGAAGCTCTTGTCTCTTTGTCCCCAACTCATGAAGGGTCCACAGAGTGAGTCCCGCTTTAGAAGACGGCTCCGTTAAAATGAGTTTCCTACCAAGCAGTCTTGGGGGGCCCAAACGTCTTCCAGATGCCTGCCAAACCCAGAAGCCTTCAAAGGCCCATTGTGCATATTAAATACTGTCAGCTTTCCCTCTGCCTTGTAAGTGTCATCATAAAATTCTTTATGGCACGATGCTGGACTTTGATATATCTGCCTTTGTGGGTGAAATCTCTCAGACACACCAGGCCTGTGCCAACAATGTCAGGTTGTTCAGACAATTATATACCCTGCTTAATGGTTGATAATTACACCGTTACTGGGATTGCCAAGAGAAAACAATGATTAAGACTATTTACAGCCCGCACACACAAATCCTTCTTTTCCCTTCCCCTTCCCGAGCAGGCCTTGCCTTGGCCTGCGCAGTGTCCATGGCAACCAAACAGGAAGCCCTACCTTGAATCAAGGCACTTGCAATAATAATCTGGAGACAGACAGTGTGGGGAGGCTGGGGGGAGGGGAGGAAGGGATTCTCAGCCACGGGAAACCCTTGAAAAGGAGTGACTCAGCTAGAAAAGTCATGTTTGTTAGAAAAATGCCACCGGGGCTCCTCACTGCAGCTGTCCCCAGAGGGAGGCAACTGACTTTAATTTGGGTAAAAACACTCCAGCGAGCGGAGGAAAGCTCCCTGCCCCTGTGTGCAGATAGCTACCTATGTATGCAGGAGGGTTTGAGCAAAAGGAGAAGATGAAAGGCATGTGCTGTATTTTCAATATAGGAGGTGTGTATCGGTTCCTCCACACCCGTTAGTTCTCGCCACTTTGATCACACCTCTCTCTACAAGGAAAAAACACCCCCTTCCAAGGCGCTGCGGTAGCCCTAGGAGCAAAAGGGGTGCTGAAGGCCACACCCCAGGGAGAAGGCAGGGAGGGGCCCGGGGTCCTGTCCCCATGCCCGGCTGTGTCAGAGTAGAAGCCGGGAGAGGCGGGAGGGAGGGAACCAGGGACGTGGCGGAGATGGGCCCGCTCCTTGGATGGGGCACAGCTCCGTGCTGAGACAGAGAATGGCTGGTATTTAAAAATAACGGAGGCTCCCAGCAGGGCCATCCACCTATTGGCAGCCCGGCTCTGGGCCGGGGCCTGGCTGAGAGCTGGTTCTGAGGCAAAAAGCTCAGGCCCCAGGAGCGGCTGTGAGACAGGAAAGCTTTGGCCTTCGGGTGGCATTTCATTCCTTTCTGGAAGGAAGAATGGTTCCCTGGTTTCCTGGTGACCGCTGGAGCTGTGCCAGACAGACTCCTACTAGCTGAGGGGAGGCATTTGTTCTGAGGCCTTACACTTACCCATGCTTTATCCCAGCCTGGCGCTAAGCCTTTCGTCATTAACTGCTGCTGAGGACGGCCTGCTAATGGGCGCCTGCTCTGGATTTCAGTCGGAAGGGGAGAGGACTGTGTCCAGTGGTGATGCGGCAGCCCTGGACCCCTCCTGCTCACCAGCCCCACTGCCCCGGGCCTCTGACCCCCTGGCTTCCTCTGCTCTGAGCGGCCCGGCTGCCTTGTCACCCAGATCAGCCCCAGCAGGCCACCAGGCTGTGTGGAGCGGGAGTGCGGCAGCCACCACCCCCGACAAGGAGGACACACGGGCTTAGGTGCGTGCCTCTTCTCTGAGCCTGTTTCCTCTTCTGAAAAGAGGACCCTGTGCGTTCACTCTGGGCTCTGGGGAAGGAGGTCGAGGAGCAGGGCTGCCTGTCCTGGTCGGAAAGGAGCCCTCATCACCTGGCCAGTGAAGGAGCAGTGGGGACGGGGGCGCCGAGGAATCGCCAGCACTGCTCGGCCAGAGCAGCTCCTCGTTGCCAACGGAGCATATTAACATAAAGCACTGCAATCCATCCTCATCACCAGCTAGTGAGGAGGGCGGGGAGGGCGGGGCGGGCCTCCCACCCACACTGTGTACTAGAGAATGCTGAGGTCCAATAGGCTAAGTGTCCTGCCCAGCGTCCACAGTGAGGACCAGCAGTGGGAATTCAGACTCCGCTCTGACTCCTGACTCCCTCCCATATGCTGTGACAGTCTTGTGTGTTGGGGTGGGGGTGGCAGGGTGATGGGTGGGAGAAATACACCTTGAAAGGACGCAGCACAGCTTCTGGGCACCTGGGGAGAGATGGGGATGGAGTCATGGGCCAGCCGGTCACAAGCACTGGGAGGGGGCAGGTACACAGAATCTGGCACTGCCACATTTGGATGTGGAAGCCAAAGTCTGGGGAAGTCAAGAGCTGGCCCAGGGCCATATCATCAAACCAGGACAAAACCAGTGGCCAGCCCAGGCCAGGACATAGGCCTCTTACGGCCAGCTCAGTGGCCTCTCCCTGGTCCCTGCCTCCCTGAGTTCTGGCTAAACATTATTAGATGTGGTGCCAGGGTCTGTGCGACCCAGGGGACAGGAAAGAGGACAGTGAACCACAAGCCCTGATGCTCAGGGCAAACTGGACGGTCGGGTGGTGGATGGGAGTGGAGGGCCAGTCCATTTCTTGGGGGCTGTGAATTGGCCATTCGCCGTCAGGAACCAGGACCTATTCCTAGCTTCGGAAAAGAAATGGAAAAGCGAGAAGCCATGCAGATTTCACGCCTTCCTTCCTACGTGCAGGGACACGCATACTGGCCTACTGACCAGCAGCTGGCCCCACGCCCGGACAAGGGAGTCCCCTCTGTGCTCACCAGCAAGGGCACTGCTCCGGGCAGCATTCGGAGGGAGGGGAAGGGTAATGGGCGGAGGCAGGTACTCACCATGATGCCCGTGAGGAGACAGACACCTTTTCCACAGTATGTGTGGGGCACCATATCCCCATAACCAATGGAAAGGAATGTGATAGAGATGAGCCACATGGCACCCAGAAAGTTACTAGTTACGTCCTGCTGGTCATGGTACCTGCCGGGGGAAGACAGGCATTAGTCAGTGGAACCACCACACCCAGGAGTAAAGGCTCTGGGCAAACCTGGACAGAGAAGGAAACCTGGACAGAGGAATGTGATCTTTTGCTGAGGTGGAGACAGCAACGATGGTGGCACACCGATCTCTCCAGGAGATCGAAGCTGCCGCGACTCTGCCCACCAGGTCCTGCTGGCAGCTCTTCGTCCGACCCCGCAACCCCCCACCATGAGCTTGGTCCCAGTGGTAAAATGTTTTGTCATGATTGGCACCATATTGTAGACGTCCTTTTGGTAAAATAGCTTTGGATGAAATCACGCAGTAATAAAATTTAGATTTTCCCTTCCAAGCTGACAGTCTAAATGTACGTGGATGTGATTAATCTGAAATCACAAGCTCCTGAACAGGGGAAATGTCAAAAAAAAATCACCAAACACATTTAGCAATTTCCCGTAAGAAGGCTGATGGAATCCAAAGACTGGCTCCTCCCAGGTGTCTGCAGGAAGGCTGAGGCAGCCAGGGCTCTCTGGGAGCTGTTTCCAGGGGATGCTTGAGGGTCTCCGCCGAGGGATGGCCCCCTCTTCTGAGCTGGATGGAGGCTCGTGGCTGTCCCGCCCTGGGAGAACCAGCTGGAAACACATCACCACCATTCCGTCTGCCCGATGCCCGTTCCACCCCATCCTTTCCCTCCCTTCCCTCATCCCCAAACTCCAAGGTCCACTGTGTGCCAGGCTCCGTGCCAAGCACTGAAATAGAAAAATGAACAGGATACAGCCCCTGGCCTTCAGGTTCCCAGCCCAGGGAGGGGTCCTTTGAGGATGCAGACATTTGCGAAAGAGTCAATAAGTGGGTGGATAAGGCTCCTGGAGGACAGGAAGGAAAGGACGATGACCTTGACCCAAATGGAGGAGGGCTGGTCAGAGGCTTGAGTTTTCCAGGCAGGCCAGAGGGGAGGCTGTTCCAGAGGGAAGGCCCTTATGAAAACCCAGGGCCCAGCTTGAGTGCAGCCGGTGGCCTGGCTGCACCTGGGGTGGCCGGGCAGGTGAAGGTGTGTCCTTTCTCAAAATGTTCTCTACCAGAAGCAGTCTGAGTGACACATGATGGACTCTGCATTTTACCCTGCAGGGACATCACTACTTGATAAAATCTCCCCATCAGCGTCTTGGAGGCCACTGGATGGGAAAGATAAGACGGGGCCGGGGAGACAGAACCATCCTGGTTGGATAGAGCAGAAAGCCATTTAGGAACCTGAAGCCACAGAACTGAGTTACCGATCAGCTTACATGAATTAATGCACATGACATGCTTGGGATGGGGTCTGGCACAAAGAGGCCCCAGATAGTATTAGCTGCTACTGTCAGTTCTCGCTACGCCCCCTGCAGGGTCTGGTGTCCAGCAGGCACTTGGCAAATATTGCTTTTCTTTTCCTTACACCCCCACCCCCAGGTCAGGTGTGCAGGAAAGGCTACAGGTACAGGTGCACCTGGGGATGAGCCTAAAAGGAGGCAGAAGGCTGCTAGTCAGAAAGGAGGTGGAGGGCGCGGGAGCAGGGAACATCACGGACACAGTGTGATGGGTACTGTTCATCGACTCTTACTGTATCAGTACCACCTACCCCAGGGCTAGCACTTTGTACACAGATACTCTAGTTCTCACAACATCCTGTGAAGGATTTTTATAGGCAAGCAACTGGAAGCAAAGAGACCTTGAGTGACTTGCCCAGAGACACACAGGAAGTAGCCAAAGCAAAGCCCATGCTCTTTCGCTATTCCACTCAGCATCAGAGAGGTGGAAGCGACTGCTGTGTGCCTTGGGGGATGATGAAGAAGTTTCAGAAAGAGGAGGGCTCCTGGGCTCCAGGAGCAGGTGATGAGGTAGCTTTGGAGACCAAGGGTCTGATTTTTGGAAGGCCCTGAATTCTAGGATAAGAGGTTTGTATTTGGTCTTAGAGGACTTGGAAGTAATTCTAGGTTCTTGAGCTGATGAATGACAAGATGACACAGCCCACTGGGAAGAGAGGTCTGCAGGTGGTGAGAAGGATGTTTAAAAAGATGCAACACACCGGTGGGGGAGCCAGACAGGAAGGAAATGAGCAAAGCCAGAGGTAGGTGCCGGCAGCAGCCTTCATCGCCCACCTCAGCCTGGTCCTAGCAGATCCCCATGAGCACATCATTGGTGGGCCATTCAGCCCCAACTTGAGTCGTCTACCAGCAACCAGAGGGGGCGGCATTGGCCTTTCCCGGCTGTCTACACAAGAGCATGCATGCCTGGAATTCCAGTGGGATCTGAAGAGCAAACACTCCCTCCCCAAAGCTCTGCTGGTGGGATTTCTTACCTGCCCTCTCCTTCATGCTTTGCTTGCACCCCAGTGACGCTCTGCTGCTACCCCAAGGCCACTCTGGCTGCCTGCTCCTTCCAGCTGGCGTCACCTTCCCAGGGCTGGGCCTGTGTCTGCTCATCTGGCCACACTGCAGCAGTATAGGCTGGCAGTGCCCAGATCTGATCCCCAAGATGGAGTGTGCCCTGCCCCAGGGCACCAGCCCCATCCCAGGTCTGACGTGGTCTTGGACGGGCAGCCACCCTCCTGTCCCATTCCTCACAGCCCTGGGGTTCTGCCGGGCCTTCAGTCCCATGCGGTCCCCTCCACTCGCAGCCTCCTGCTCTCTGGCAGGAAGGAATGGTGGCAGACCCTGGCTCTCAGGGTCTGTGCTGAGGTAGTGGTGGGGACTCGTTCCCTGGGGGGAATGGACCTTGGGGACTATGAAGCAGCAAGACTTAGTGACAGACAGCGTGGGGGCACAGACGGGGGAAGACTTAAAGACGGCTCCATGCCACAAGCCAGCAACGTGTACACACATGTTGAGAGTATAGCCGGGGTCATCAGTCCATCAGACATTTCCTGGAAGGGGTCTTGGCTCAAGTCTGAGGACGGTGAGGTCAAGGTGGTGGGCAGAGAGGAGGCGAACCTGAGATCCTGCGCTCAGCTCGCCTGGCTTCAGGGCCCAGCACCACCTTAAGTAGCTCCATGGCTGTGGGCAAATGACTTCACCCTTCTGTGACCCAGTTTCTTTATCTACTGTTGGGGGGATTAAGAAAAATAATCCACCAGCAATATTAGCACGGTGCGTGGCCCAGAGTAAGTGCACCCTAAATGTCATCATCACCGTTGTTGCTGAGAGGGGCGGGTGTTATCCGTCTGTTTGCCTGAGAAACAATCTACAGGAGAATACAGGGGCAGAGGGATACAAGTGCGGTGGGGAGAGGGTCCCCAGCAAGGGAGGGATGAAGAGGAAGAGAGGGATGAAGACGAAAGGGAGATGAAGATGAAAGGGGGGTGAAGATGTCTTGATGTTTAGGCTGGAGAAGTATTTGATGCAGGGATGAAAGGAATGTACTGTAAGTTCTTGGAAAAAGAAGGGATACGAGACACTTGGTATCTGAGAATGATAATTCCAGCAGCTACATGCAAGACTGATTAAAGAGGGCAGGTCCCAGGCATTGAGAATGGCTAGCAAGTTTGCAGGTGCCCGTGGAGAAGCAATGGAAAGCCTCGAATGCCAAACCACGGGGTTTGGATTGAATTTGCAGCCTGTCTTCCAAGGACATTATTGGCTTTGCTGTGCACACGGGTCTCTACAGTCCTCCTTTCCTTGCAAGGAAAGGAGGCTTAAACCAGTGTTCCCTGGCTGCTCAGCTGCCCTCCGGACCATGGCCCGTCCTATTCATATGTGGGCGGACTCTGAGGGAAAGAGTAGAACTCCAAGTAGAGTTTAATAATAACCACTGGTAATCTCCCTCTCTCTTTTTCAAGTTGAGGTCTGATTTACTGCTTTATTTTTCTCTGGATTCTCTTTATGGTCTTGTGGGTTTCTTTTTCATTCACCATCTAAAATCCACTGGTGCTAACTAGGTGTGCTGAGAAGAGGAGAAGCAGATCTTATCACGGGTGTTATTTGTTCACCATTTGTCGGACGTTAACGATGTCCCCTCTGACAGGGGCTAGAGAAGACTCAGAGATGAATCGGACATGCCCCCGATTCTCCCGTGGCTGGGAGCATCGTCATGGAGATAAAAGACGCCTGCAACTCACCAAGTAGGAAGTCATGGGTGAGAGAGCCAGGCTGGTGATTCAGGACTGTGGGAGTGGAGAGGAGGGCGAAATTGTTTCCAAACCTATTCACAATTTTAGAGTGGTTTACACTTGTCACAAATTCACGTACTAATCTCACGATATTTTTTGCAACAGAGAATTTTTTGGAGAAAAGTGTCCCTGTTTTTCTTTAAGAGCTAAGGAGGAAAGGGTGTAGGTATTTTTTTAGGGTTATTATAGTTATTAATTTATCATTAGGGTGTGGACTATGGTTTTTCACTTTTTACTATTATGAAATAAATGATAGACGTGAAAGATTGTATGATTGTGTAAAGATGGTAGATTACACAGGATACTTTTTATCCCTCCCCTTACCCCTGTAAAGTACCAGTTTTAGTTCCCTGCTCTTAAAAATAAGCAGACAGCCAGGAATCCCCAGACATCTCGAGCAGTAAAGACGCAGACCAACTCAGTCAATTAAACAAACAAAGGAAAAGCACTCTGGATCACATACAGGCCATTCACAGACAAGAACCCTTGAAACAAATCCTATAATTAATATCATAAGGAAGATAAAACAAGATATTGGACCCATGAGACAAGAATGTACGCTGTACCAAAAAGCCCTCCTAGACGGCCGGCAGATACATTGAGGAAGCCTCTACAATGACAGAAAGGATGAAGAGATGAAAATAGGTGAGAAAGTAGGAGGAAATGAGTGAATCAGTCTACTGATTCAAATACTAATAATTTCAGGAAGAAAGAACTGGGGAAAAAGGAGGACGGGGAGAAGGAGAAGGAAGGAAAAGAAGGAAAGAAGGGATCATTAAAGACATCATTAAAAAATTTCCCAGAGCTGAAGGACACAAGTTTCTAGATCAAGGGCCCACTGTTCCCAGTGCAGTGCATG